TTTTTTAGTATGTTAGTAGTAGTTTTTAATATATTTTTCTTAATATGTTAGTACCATATTTTTTAGTATGTTAGTAGTATTTTTTATATGTTTTTAGTATGTTAGTAGTATTTTTTAATATGTTTTTTAGTATGTTAGTAGTATTTTTAATGTTTTTCTTTGTATGTTAACAGCATATTTTTAGTATGCTAGTAGTATTTTTTTTAATGTTTTTTTAATATGTTAGTAATATTTTAAACATGTGTTTAGTATCCAACAATTTTCAGTCAGGTCATCTGGACAGTTTTTTCAGATGACCTGACTGAAAAATGTTGGATTGTATACCTGGATTATTGAGCATGGACTTTGATGCGTTTAGTATGTTAGTAGTATTTTTTATTATGTTTTTCTTAGTATGTTAGTGGTATATTTTTTAGCATGTTAGTAGTATTTTTTTAAATGTTTTTCTTAGTATGTTAGTACCATATTTTTTAGTATGTTAGTAGTATTTTTTATATGTTTTTTAGTATGTTAGTAGTTTTTTTTATATTTTTTTCTTGGTATGTGAGTAGCATATATTTTAGTATGTTTTTAGTATTTTTGCTGCATGGTTTGATGTTTCTTGTTGTTGTTTTCTTGTCTTTTTTTTTTGGCAAGTCGAGACGGTTCTTCTCGTCCTAAGCATTTCATTACATTGTTGCTCTTGTGTTGATTTTGCACATGACAAATAAATCTAACCTAACCTAATTTGGAATTTGATAGTAAATAAACAGTTGTAAAACTAAGATGTGATGGTGAAAAACAGCAGGAGAGGCATTTTGCATATATTAGTTTACCATACATTTCAGACTATAAGGCGCACTTAAAATCCTTTAATATTCTCAAAAATCGGCAACAAGCCTTATAATCCAATGCTCCTTATGTATTAATTCTGGTTGTGCTTACTGATTTTATGTGATTATTGTGAATCGGTTGAATAAAGTTTGACTTATCTGACTGTTTTGTTTTGCTTAATGCGCCGTATAATCTGAAAAACACGTTAATTGTCAACAGGTCTGTAGGAGGACCGAGTATAAAAGCATTTCAGAGGAACTCTAAGAAGTAAAGACGGGCAGGGGCTCACCACTATGAATAAAATATGAGAGCATTTATTTGCTTAGCTTTGTATTTTGTTGCATTCAACATCCTGATGTTTTAAAAAATTGGAGTAATATTTCTGCCTATATATGAAGTATAGATAATTATTTTCATTATGTGATCTACATATATTTGGAAAATTTATAACTTAGTCACATGAGAAAAGAACTTCAAGATTTAATCCCTATTTTTGTTTCCTACGTGCTGTAAGGCCTGCAGATCTCGTGATCTTTTGTTGTGAAAACTCTGTGCGTCAACACACAATCAGCTCTATCTGTCCTCAGGTAGACGTCTGGGACAGACACGTCTTTTCTGGGACACATGCATCCGTCAGCCCGCACAAAGGGGCCCCTGTGTTTCCTAGGTGGAGTGTGTCTGGACTCGTGAGTCATGTACAGTACTGGTGCAGGTGTGGAGTTGGGTTCAAGGTGCCAAAACAAAAGAAAACCTTCAGTTGAGCTTCTATAGAGTTAAACGTTCGAGACGTCACGGTGCAGCCGCGGTCACATCGAGATGACAAAAGACGTTGACCAAGAAAAACGGGTTAAAAAGCACAAAACGACTTGGAAAATAAATCCAAGAAATGTATTTTGTGTTGCTTTGTTTAGACTAAGACTTACAATAAATCTTTTCTTAGCACAAAACCCAAGTTCCAAAGAAATTTGGACGTTGAGTAAATTGTAAAAAATTAAAAGCTGAATGCAATGATGTGCAAATCTCAAAAACTCATGTTTGATTGACTTTGGAAACACGGTTGTTGCTTTTCTTTTTCCTGACACCACCGGGGCTTGAACCTGCAGCGTCAGGACTACAGGACCATGACACTGACCACTGAGCTACCGCGGCCAAAACAGTTCTTGAAACAAATGAAAGTTTATGAGATTTGCAAAGCATTGCATTCTGTTTTTATTTTACATTTTACACAACGTCCTAATGGTTTTGTAACTACACATGCACGTTTATTCACCCTGATAATAAAGTGCCTGCTGTGTGCATGATTTGTGGTTACCGTGTAGATTTGTACCTACATGTCAGCGTGTGCATCTTTTATTGACCGGAGCGATCGTGTCTCCTTACAGCTCCTCCTCACCTCCTGGGCCCTGGAAATGAAAGTTTGTACTCGGAAGTGAAGAAGAAGAGTAGTGAAGGAGATTCCCTCGCTCTGACCACCGGCAGTCCGAGCTGCAGAGACCGAGTACCGTCTGCCAGCAGCGACTCCGGCCTGTCCATTACCTCACAGGGCCGAACCGAAACCAGGCTGAGAAGAGGGCCCTCACGGGACCAGTGGATCCAGGGAGGGAAGCTGATCTTTGGGGTAGACTCGGAGCCTACCCAGCCTCTTCTGGTCATGACTGAGGTTGCTTTGCCTCGCCGTGGGGCGGGAGGGATGACTGGAGACGAGTCTGGACTGGGACACACCATCAATGGAGAGGCTTCATCGAGCGAGAGGGAGACGGACATCCTGGACGATGAGGATGAAGGAGGACCAGGCTCTGCTTGCTCCCTGTCCTCTGAAAACACGCCTGAAAGTAAGAAACCGGAGTACTCCACTCACTCCTGGGTGCGGCAGCAGCAGATGGTGGAAGCCGCCCCTGATAGTTTGCTTCCCGTGGGCGCACAGGGGAAGTCAAACAGGCCGGAGAGAGACGGACCACCACCTCTGGTGGTTCCTGAAACACCACCTCGAGGACTCAGCAGCAGGGAGGCAGTGCAGAGAGGCCTGACGGTCGAGGACACAGCACACGACTCCCAGTCTGCTAATACCACATCGTCCTGTCAGGAAGATGAACTGGCTTCATTAACGACAGACATCGATGTGTCCATAGAGCAGCTGAACCAGCTCATTCTGGACTTGGACCCCACGTTTGTTCCTGTTCCTACACGCTGTTCCCCTCTGACCCGCTCCGCCTCTCTAAACACCAACGGCCTCAGCCTCAAAGGACGTACCCATCAGTCAGGTAAGGCTAATCTATATACGTAAAGGAATGAGCATAAAATGATGTAAAAGAACATTTTGCTCAAACTTCATCAGCGATGCCATCATTTAGTCAATGTCAATTTTATTTACATAGCACATTTAAAAACAACATTGTTGACCAAAGTGCTTCACAAACAGGAGGTCTAGCGATAAAATAAATGAAAGATCAGACATTAAAAACCACAAATGTAATAAAAAAAAGGCTAAACTTTATTGTCATTCAAATTTGTACAGTGCACCAATATGAAACATTGAACAAAATCTGGTTTCATTTCTCCACAGCACTGTAGGAGTTCACGGTTTACATGACTTTTATAGACTTTGGTGGTCAGGGATGTCTGTGGCTGTGCGTGTGTTTGATCATGATCTCTTCATTAGTGAGTTCACCAGTCTGATAGCTCATGGGAAGAAACTGTTGCAGAACCTGGTGGTTCTGGTCTTCAGGCTGCAGTACCTTCAGCCAGGGTCAACAGAGTAAACAGTCCATGTTGTGGGTGTGAGTCTTGATTTTATTTGCTCTGGTCACACAGCATCTGAGACCAATGTCCTGGATCAGTGGTGCAGTCTACATTTTTGTAGTGGGTATACTGTGCTTAGAAACCAAAGGGCACCAGTTAGTACAAGTGGGTATACTGGAATTCCCAAGCTCTTCTAGTGGGTATACTCCGTATGCTCACGTATCACATAGACTACACCACTGATGGGAGGGGTGTCAATGATCTTCTCCACCATTCTCACCACGCTCCTCAAATCCTACCTGTCTGCAGCCGGGGAGCTTCCCTCCCAAACTGAGATGCAGCTGGTCATGATGTTCTCGATGGTTCCTCTGTAGAATGTGGTGAGGACATGGGGTGGGAGGCGTGCTCCCTCCAGCCTACAAAGTGCAGACGCTACTGGGCTTTCTTCACTAGGGACCCAGTGTTTCTTGACCAAGACAGCTGATTGCTTATGTACACCCCCAGGAGCGTGGTGCTCTCCACCACCTCCACCTCCGTGTTGTTTATGGGCAGCGGCATGTGATGTGGTTTTGTTTTCCTGGGGTCAATAATGAGCTCTTTTGTTTTGTTGACATTCAGAACCAGGTTATTTCCCAACACCAGTTCACAAGTTGGGCCTCCTCTTCCCAATATGCCTGATCCTTGTTGTTAATCTGGTCCATGACCGTGGCATGTTTTAGAATAAACTAAATCTAGAAAATAACACATCTAAGAGGTTCTGATGGAACTCAAACTGAACTTGAATTAAGAGCCAATCATCATTTTAAAGTCGTATAGTCATGGTGTTCACATCGTTGTGTCTGCGTGACGTACATTTGCTTTTGTCCTCTTGGTTTTGCCTCCGATAGAACCGCAGGGTGAATCTATACATTAAAGAGTTGCAGCAACGTTGATGATGTTCTGACCTGTTCATCCATCCATCCATCCATCCATCCATCCATCCATCCATCCATCATCCATCCATCCAATCATCTTTACCTGCTTCTTCCTTTTTGGGTCGCCGGTGCCCATGTCCAACAATCACTGTGCAAGAGGCGGGGGACACCTGGACAGGTCTCCAGTCCTTCACAGGGACACCCAGGACAGGTCTCCGGTCCATCACAGAGACGCCTGGACAGGTCTCCAGTCCTTCACAGGGACACACAGAGACAAACAAGACAAACAACCATTCATTCTCTCTCTCTCTCACCTAGGAACAATTTAGAGTCACCAATCAGTCTAACATGCATGTTTTTGGTCTGTGGGAGGAAACCGGAGTACCCGGAGAAAACCCACGCATGCACGGAGAGAACATGCAAACTCCACCCAGAAAAGCCTCCAGACTGGGATTTGAACTGGCAACCTGCTCGCTGAGAGGCAGCAGCTCTACCAACTGTGCCACCGTGCCGCCCCAGACCTGTTCAAATAATGCTAAATACTGGTCTAAACAACATCAATGCACATTGACTAGCTTTTCCTTTGGTCCACTTTCCGAGGTGGTCCAGACCGTTTATTATCTGCATGTGCTTGAAAGTCTGAGCACAGTCGGTCCAGAGTGACCTCCAACTGAGACATCTCTATGGTTAAATGTTCCTTCTGATTGCTTTTGGACCTGCTGTGGTCACCATAAGCTATAATGTGCTGTGTCAAACAGAGGACAAGAGTCTTTAATACATTAAAATCATCAATCTTTGCACCGACACCCAGCTCTGCAAAAAGTCATTCATCATCATACACGTTCTTGTATTTGTATGACATTGCATCTGTTGAGTAATTAACCTAATCATTTGTGACTCAGATGGCTCTGAACCACATTAGTGTCAAATAGAAAATATGGTTCAGATGTTTGAATGAACAGAAAGTTCAGCACACCTGCTGAAGCCCTGTTTGTTGTTTACCTGCTGCGTGGCGAGTCTGGATAACTGACGTCTGATCGCACAAACGTTTCAGGGCATAGAGTTTACCGCCAAGCGGGAAAACAATTTCATGTTTGTGCATATGTAAGAAAAATATATCCCAACACGGATCACTGTACTAACGCAGCTGTAATAACACACATCATTTACATCTATTATAGTGGAGCGGCACCATTCTGAGGTGAAATTATCCCTCATTCTAAATGCTGTATTTCGTCTAAATGGTACATTTATTTTGGAAAACCATTTTCATTTACCTCATGTAGCAAAATACATTTATTTCATTCTATTCAGTTTATTCATAAAGCGCAAAGTCCCAACAGAAGTCATGTCAGGACACTGAACAGAGACATTCACGTACATAAAAGAATAAATTAGTAAAAGTTTTCTATCTAAGGAAGAAGCAGATTGTGTTGAATCTTCACTTCATCACAGTCTCCAATCCTGAGCAAGCGCAAAGGAGACAGTGGAAAGGAAAAACTCCCTTTTAACAGGAAGAAACCTCCAGCAGAACCAGGCTCAAGACGAGCAGCTGGGTTTGAGAGGACAGGAAGTAGAAACAGACACAGAATGACAGGTCCAGGTGGACATTCTATAGGAGGAAAGACAAAACACATGTTAAGATAGAAACAATTACAAATACCAACAGGAAGAGTAGAGCAAGCCAAGACAGCAGCAGAGAGATGAAACATAACTAAGAGATAGCTCAGGAAACCCAAGCTAACCCTAGCTATAGGATTTATCAAAAAGAATATACTTAATCCCGGTTTTAAAACTGGACAATGTGTCAGTCTCACGGACAGAAACTGGAAGTTGGTTCCACAAGAGAGGAGCCTGAGAACTGAAAGATCTGCCTCCCATTCTGCTTTTGGAAACTCTAGGAACCACAAGTAAACCTGCAGTCTGAGAGAGAAGTGCTCTGTTAAGAAAATATGGAACAATAAGATCAGTAATATTAAATGGTGCTAGGTTGTTGAGGGCTTTGTAGATTAGAAGTAAGATTTTGAATTAAATTCTGGACTTGACAGGGAGCCAATGGAGAGAAGCTAAAACTGGAGAGATTTGATCTCTCCCAGTAACTCCAGTTAAGACTCTGGTAGCAGCATTTTGGATCAACTGAAGGGGTTTTAAAGAAGTATTTGGACACCCGGATAACAAACCATTGCAATAGTCCAGTCTAGACGTGACAAATGCATGAACCAGTTTTTCTACATCAATTTTAGATAAGATGTTTCTAATTTTAGTGATATTACGCAGGTGGAAGAAGGCGGTTCTAGTAACTTTGATTCTGGTAATCTGTGGCAATGTGTTCGTTGGTAGTTAAGGCTTACAGTCTGCGCTTTGTATGACTTGTTTCAGAGTATGCGCACAGTGTACATTTTTTATAAAACCGTCTGGACGTGGAATACTCCAAGAAAGAAACGTGTTGTTTGAAGAAAGTGTTCGTAAATTTGCATAATGTTTGCAGAAAGGGGGGAAGTGCTTGATTAAACAGGGAGCAGATAGCCTCGTTGTGCAAACTGTGTAAAATCAGGTCTTCTGCTCAATGATGGGCTTACTCAACAGTCTGTCCTCTTCTAAATGGAAATATACACACTGGAAGTTACTCAACTGGATATATAGAAAGACAGCACCATAAAACATGGTTACTTGATTAATTCAAATCAGATTTAATAGAAAATGTGTTCACTGTTGCTGTGCTTGAAGTGTGAGGTGATTTCTTCAAGTTGTTCTTCAAGTAACCTTAGTGTTTAGATGATTACAGTAACTGCAGCAGTTCTCTGACGTCAGTTGGACTCTGTTTCTACAGGTTAAGTGACAGCAATCACAAGCTGCTGTTCGGCTTTAAAGTGCAATAGGAACGTGTGTAGTTTACATTCAGTCACGCACGAGATGGTTCTGAAGTAGTTTGGGGTATTTCTCAGCTTTGATTTGGAATGATGTCAATGAAAACACATCCGATTGTACTTTTAACTGTTGTACTCGAGTAATAATACTGCTCACTTTTTCTTCATCCAAATATACAATTATTAATGTCTCTGAAGAATGCTTTAAAACTGATAACAAATTGTAGATAAAAATGTCCGTCACTACTGATCACATGGTTCAGAGCCATCAACGAATAGATTTTTCTTGTTCTTGTATAAACGAATCAGGACAACTACATATTTAATGTTATGTTGTGACTGTTAGAAATATCTACACAAGTAAATAAAATGTGGGGACATATAGTTGGACACACAATCTGTTAGTTAATGATAACTCAAATTTAAGGAACTTTGAAAAATGTAGGAATTCTCACATGAATTACCGTTATTTCTGGACTATAGAGCACACAGGAATATAAGCCACACACATCAAAAAAATAAAAAAATAAACTCAGTTTTGTACATATATCAGCTGTGGGTGTCCACATTGTAACATGAGATAGTTACACAGAAAGATTTTTAAAACTTTTTATTAAATACTTACTGTAACATACACAAATACAGAAGTCCCTCACTACTTCGCGGTTCGTTTGCCGCGGACGTTAGACATGACGCACAATTGGATGAGCCGCACGATCTGCATGGAATTTTTATTTAAAATAAATTCTTTTAAATTATTTAGCGCCTGCTGCACCTATGAGCAGCCCTACTGCAGGATAAACTTCCTGCTGCAGCTGATCAGCTGATCAGCTGTTCTCCGTGCAGCGTGGAGAAGTGGGCGTGGCCAAGAACACTTGCCGGTGGCTGAGAGCAGCGGAGGCAGGGAGCTGAAATCATGACATTCTGTCTCTTTTGGAGTGTTTAGAGTTTAGAAACATTGTTTAGAATATTGCAAGAGTGTGGGAAGGGTTTAAAACGCCTTTATATAT